TGACATTCCAGAATGTATTACGCGACTTTCCAAATTGTGTAGCCTAATTGGTTAATCTAAATTATCATATTGGTTCTGGTCCGAAATCTCTTTCCGGATACAATTATTTTTATCAAATCATTTTCCTATGAAATAGTTCTCCCCTAAATTACTTTTTACTTCTAGTACACTGGAGCGGAATCACCCATTGCTTCGCTTTCTATCCATAATGCGCGATCTTGTACTATGTCTAGTTTATCTGCAACGCCACCCAGTTCCCCTTTGTCTAGAAAGCATTCTACGAGTTCATCAAGCGATTCTTTAGTTTCAAACATACTCGAGTCTGATGGAGTTCGTCTTCGCCACTGTATTCAGCCCAGTCATAAAGCCTCCGAGACCTACTCATGCTTCACTTTCGAACATCTAGTACCTCGAATCAGTGAAATACTTCGTGACATACCGGCGTTTCGGATCCGTGAAGCTCTTGGTAAGGTTTTATATTTAGTTTAACACTGCTCTTAGTTAGGTAGGAACTATAATTCTGCTTGTAATCTAATTTTTAGGCTTTTGATGTGTAAAGCAACTATCCATACGTACACGATTTTACACTCGTTTTGGTATAGTAAAACACTAGTAGTATTTGTTTGAGATGCTTGTAAGATAACTGTTAGCAGTATCCGATATGAAAATCAGATACGTTCTTACTGAGACCCAATAACAATCTGTTCTTTACACCACATACCAAATTATTGGACAATGGCATGAAATTTACTTCTCAAGTGTGGTTACCTGGGGATAAGTGTTTGAACTCAGTATATTGCATTCTTCACTTAGGCACGCAGAATTGATTCATTTCTACTACGAAACTGAGTCAACTATGAGACAAGAAAAGTGTATGGGCTCTTAGGATATATCGTAGCTTAGATACTAAAGTTTCACTGTCAGTCTCAGAAATTCAGAATTTTAAAAGCCTATCGAAAAAGATCACATCGATGTTTTAAGGTTATTACGCAAATATTGTAAGTGCCAGATATTGTCATAATTGTTACAGTCTCATAGGTTTTTGAGGGAGTTTTAGTCAGTCACATTCAAAACTATTTAGCACTAACAAAATTATGCTGAGGAATACTAGGGAAACCAACCACAGTACTGACTATCATGTCCTAGAGAATAAGATACTTACTGAACGTATTTCATTATATGTAGCTGGTGATTCATATTTTTGTTACGAAAGTAAAATCATACTGATGTTAAAGTAGGAACATGATAAATTATCTTGACATGATGTAATCTATACCTTTTGATTGCTGAACGACTTATTCTGATGTAGAGGAAAATCTGTCATATGTCAATGAATTTTAAGTTGGTTCAATATTTTTGTATGATAAAAATGGGAAGTCAATGTACGTAACCTTCATTTTGTAAATGGTTTTTTGTTTCTACCTTAAAAATATCACCTTTTTTAACCCAGTGTAAATATTATATCCGCAATTGATACATTTTTTGTTTAGTGAATACTCAAGGTGACGTTGAATCAGCTATTGATTACCTTTTGGAAAATCCACATGACTCGGATACTCAACGAGACAGTAATCAGGGCGACCCCACTATGTCTGCTATGTCTCCCAGCAGGTTCACAGTTGCTGCTCCACAGTTCCTACCAAACTCTAGTTCACGTCAATTGAGCCTTAGTGAACGTCGTGAAGCTCTTTTGAACCATGCGCGTCAGCTGTATCGTTCCCGTCAGCAAAGATCCACCTAATTCATGAAGTAACATCCCGCCGTTTGACAATCCTTTAAAGTTAATGAACTGTGATTCTTCCCGTATACTTTTGACCGCCAACTACTTTCTCGTTAACTATAATGTTAATAAGTCAAAGCCCCATCTGATAAATCCTGATTACTTTAATTCTGAGTTTATTAGTTTCTCATCATTGTATCATATCAAAATATCTTTCGATTTTATATGGTTTTGCATTATTTGACATTACCTGACTTCGTGGTTGTCTATATAGTCTTAAAAATTCCCATATTGTGAATTAGACCAACATATATAAGCGAACAATATTGTTTTCAATTAGATCCTCATAAGGCTTTACCCCAATATATAGTAATGTTCATATGCACATACGAAATTATTTAACCAATCAAGACGGTTTATGAGTCAATGGTAACAGTGGAATAGACTACATAAATAGACATAATAAGTAAAGAGTACAAATTGGTAGTGTGATGACAGGTTACTAGTTGTGATAAGAATAAACAGAAATAGGTCATTCCAAGCTATTTATCGTATTCCTACCAGTTTTCCTTATGTAGTTTGATCTTGTCTCTTACATGTAGCAGTAGCTATAGAAATCCAAGCTAACAATCCAAGTCATAGTATTCATAAGAAATTTGTAACATCTTTATCTCTCTCTTGACACCAAATTAGCCTTAATAAGACTTATTTATTATTACTTCCCATACTCGTTTGTTTTTCTGCACCTCCTTTCACTCATCTAAACAGTTCTCATTACGTAGTCTTAGTATTTGTGGATGCTATTTCAGCATTTTTATTTTTTCAAGCCATTGACCTATTTTCCATTATGAAACATGAATTTAAGAGTTTGTTATTCTTATCACAACTAGTAACCTGTCATCACACTACCAATTTGTACTCTTTACTTATTATGTTTATTTATGTAGTCTATTCCACTGTTACCATTGACTCATAAACCGTCTTGATTGGTTTAATAATTTCGTATATGCACATGAACATTACTGTATATTGGGGTAAAGCCTTATGAGGATCTAATTGAAAACAATATTGTTCGCTTATATATGTTGCTCTATATAATCGTTTTGTTATCAGCGTAGCTGACACCAATCAAAAGAGTATTATCAATTATTTCCTAAGCCTAAGGTTTGTCGCCAACCGACAACTTAATCTTTAATATAGTAGTTAGAATGACCGAATCGGACAGTTACTCCTAGAAATACTTCTTAATCGTATGATGACAAGAAAATTGATTTAAGGATGTTAAAAATGAAAATTGCCTCCACTTTATTTGAGACTATGCGATTGGCAAAAAAATTGTTGAAAATTTCGTCCTTAATCATTTATATCAAAGAACGTAACTGATAGAAATATCGAACAGATAGACCGAAAACAGTAAAAATCAAGATTAGTATTAAGTAGAACTACACCATATACACTTTAGGTAAAAAAAGTTGGGAGAAGTTTCAAACTCACCGACATACCAAGTTATTATGTCACTCGAATACAGTAATAATATCTAGTTAGGACAGTTATATCATATTGAGCAATTTAAAGTTAGGAATGATACTTAACCTGATTGATTATTTTCCAACTTGTGTATTATAGATACATATCTCGTTAGCCGACCTGGGCTACTTCAGCTCGAGGTGCAGCTTTGGGGTCGTTTTGAAATTTTTGTGATAGCAACTGAACGGTAAACTAAAAATTTTACTTTACTGAACATATTGGTGTTGCAGTGAAATGATAATCCCTCACTCGAGCAATCGGGTGTCAGAATGACTGATCTGTAAAATTAGTTTCTGAGTTAAAAAACGCTTCTTAGTGTGCACAACCGTTAACTCGAGGTAAATATTGTACCAACCCAACCAGTTCAAACATGGTTTAATCCCTAAGGATCACATTAGTGTTAAGATTGCATGCTCTTATCGAATCTATCACAACTCAGTTGAACAATTTCATTTTTTAACAAATGAGTTGAGTGGAAGTGACATAAGTATGGGGAATCCGAATATCCGTTTACTTTTTATTCGCGAATATTTATTAGAGGATAACTATGATTTAATAGTGTTATATCCCCTCACTCTTAAATATATCTGATTGTCAGTTGTACGTGTATTAGTAGTTAGTTATATCTTTCTTTCTACCAACTAATTCTTTCTTCCTGTACTATATCATTATATGCAATCTTTCTTTTATACATTACCATCATTGAATTAATTCTATGAATTCGGTGTTCATCTTGTTGTGTCAATGAGGTATGACAACTGGGACCGATGCATATATGTGCTTGATGCTACGTTTTAGCTGACTGATCAGAACCTACGTAAACCTGAAGCGTGTGAGTATTATAGCATATCTGCAACATCGCTGTTCCTACGACGAAATATGCGTAAGTCTAATGTCTGAAATGTAGAAGCACTGTGTCTAGCACTTGATAAAAGACTTATCATGTTTAGATGAATTTATATCAACCTAAGGCCAAGATACCTAGTTTTGTCCGTGAAACATATTTTATGAGGGTCAATTACATTTTTAGATTGGTAACGTTCGGCTACAGGTGTCTACGAAGGATTGGTCGCACGTAGTAAAATGTTGGGATCAAGCTGAGTGTATTGAGTAAAATTAGCGAGTCGGTTGAGACTTTGTACCAACTAAGTCAGTTGAAATGCCTTGTTACTGGCTATTCTGATATCTTTCATTTCATGTGGAGTGATAAATTCATTTCTTACCTTCCTGTTTCATTGGTTCTTTTTGAGATAGAAATTTTTGATGTTTGGTTCATTATCACAACGAATACTACCATAAATTCGACTTCCTCGTGTGCCAGAGAGAAATATGACCGAGTGACTCGATGCATGTACTGACTGGATCTTACACTAATGATGATACTTAACCATAATGATTAAATCTGTAGAACTAATGGATGACAGGTAAATTCACCAACAAGATCTGTAGGGTTTTATTTTAAAGTCATATACGAACAAATTCCGTCCTTAACTCATGGTTCAAATAGCTAGATTCAATTAACATTTTGCGAAGTCCAAACTCAGACTTCTGTGCTTTGTTAAGACATCGTCTGATTCTAGGCGGTTATTTTTGAAACTATGCTAGTTGGGCTGATTTTTCTGTTATTAGCACACGAGAATTAATAATCGAAGACTGCTGAACAGAACTAGTGCTTGCTCTCTTATTTCAGTTAGTAATTACGTAAATCTAAGCAATGATCTCAGGCCATCGTCATATTTGAGAAATAACCAAACGCGATTTCATAAATTGCCATATTAAAAATAGTAGTTTACGTAAACTACGTCTTAGATAATATGTTATTCATACATTATGTTATAAGAACTGGTACACTTCAGTAATTAATATTATTTACAAGTACATAAATCAAGTGCTCAAATACAGTACTAAGTCAATCAACAGGTTCATCGTTTCGCCACGATTCCTCAACAACGGCTCGGACTTGTGTTTCATATTGGCGTTTGTCTTCTTCAAATAATTCTGCTGCTGTCGTATTTGCAGGAGAGTTGGGGTTTGGGTCCCCCAAAAGTGATTGTAATGATGTTAATATTGCTCCAATGTTATATGACGGAGACCACATGTTTTGCAATATATCCAAACATATACTACCATCACTATACACATTAGGATGAAACATTTTGGAAACGAATCGCACAATCGGTGGGACGTTAGGATAGTTCTCGGTGAACTCCATTGTTAGCCGAAATATACCGTCTGCGAATGCTGTGCCATCCGGCCCCAAAATAATTGCATGCCATTTCATTATGTTGTCATCAAGTGGAACAGCGTATACACCAGGAGGGGGATCAAGTTGAATTTTTTTGAAATCGTTCATAAGACGGCGTCTAGCCTTTGTAGACATTCTTACTCGGATGACCAGGTATTAAGACTAAAGAAAGCGAGAATTTTAGGAATCTTTGTTTGAACGCAATATCACTATGTATTATGAATATCCGTTTTTAATGCAAAGATACACATTCGTTACTTTGAACAGGGCGGGAAATCGACCAGGCCCTTCCCCCTAGTGAGAATTCGGTCCTAAAACAGTGGGTTGGAATTTCATATCAGAAACTTACGAACGACAGCATGTTTTACTGTTAATGTACACTATTTCGAACAGAAAAGACATCTGCTGTACTGAGTGTTATTTTTGATTATTTATGCTATATAACCTTTTGGAAAATAAAAGCCATCGGGAGGATAAATCTTGTCAAACGAACACATAAAAAAACTATCTACCCATGATAAACTGGTGAGAAATATAGTGACAATGATATATGGATACAGCTTAAGATAGAAGTAGAGATGTTGGAAATTAGTGCATATGACAAGGACGAAATTAAAGTTTTTATCTAATTGTTTGTGTGCCAAATCGATGTCTATTGAGTTATAATTGCAGCACTAAATCTGAAACAGACCGTTAGTGCAGCGAACTTACTGGAAGTCTAAACATAAATAAAAGCCAGGTGCTACGCACCGTCTTACTAAGAGTAGTTAAAATTTGGCCACAGTCAAGCCTTGCGTCTTAAGAACCATGAGTAAGACCCATACTATTTGTGATGGAGTTTTGTTCCCTGAGCTGGATGGTTTGGTAGCGGAGCTCTCGTCGTCCTTCTGAACGACAACAAAACTACCTGAAGTTTGTGCTGATGATGTCATTCAGGGAAACGGTGAAAGCTCCACGACCAAGCCATCCAGCTAAGAGAATAAAACTCCATCAAAATCATCGATCTGAGCTACAAATCTCCACCATCCCATACTATGTGTATATCCATCAGTGGGGTTTCCAAAAGACAGGACTTCGGCAGTTTCAGAAGTCGATTAAAAACAAAGCTTGGGATAAACCAGTGGGTTTCGAATAAATTTAAAAGTTGGGTAATTATAGAAATAATCCAGTGATCTATTGAGAATACAGAACACTTATATTGTCTTACATCTTCCTACACCTATTAAATTTATGACAGCCTTTAGGTAGCAAATCCATATGATAAAATACATATCCACCTACTGAAATGATAGGGAGTTATTAAAGAGACTCAGGCGATCATAATCAACGTAGAGCCTGATACAAATATACCTCAGCCCAAGTAGCCAAGCTATGCCAACAAGATTAAATGTCCTTCAGGCACAAAAGTGCCCCAAGTGAAACAGAAATCTTGTTTACAACTAGTGTTATGCCAGTTCAGGATCATGTTAAATCACCGCATGGAGGTGAAAGGCATGGGATAATGATATACTAACACAGAAACTACTGGTGTGCTACCCCAATGTTTTGTCACTTGCCTTGCTCATTGTAAAGTGCTTTTCAAATCTTCACGAAGATTGCAAAAACTACATTTAGTTTGGGTTCATCCATTCATATAAATTGCAGATACAAGTGAAAGCGAAGAGACACGCACTTATATTAAAAAGACGAAATGTATCAGGGTTTTGGCACTTTTAAGTAAGTTATTACACGAACGTAAAGATATTCTATCACAGAGAATTGTATACAAATATATATATATATATATATATATATATATGCATAGAGTCTGAGTGAATGTGTTGTTCCTACCTCTACATGTACGTCGTAGATTATTACAGATATTGATGCTAATATTTTGAACGATAAAAGTCTAATCAAAGTGAAAATGAGCATAAAATACACCAAAACAACCCACCGGCCAGTTTCTCATTCGCTACGGCTAAATGAAGGTCACAATGTTGTCGTCCGGCGCCTTTAAGTGTTTTTCAAATAGTTCAAATGGTCCTGAACGAAATAGAAGAAGCTTTCACCTAATGAGCTGCCGCATCTAGTAGCAGTTGTTCGTCGATACCTCCATGTAGGAACCTACGTATATTTAATGATACAAATTTCTCACCCCAACAGCATGGTTTCAGGTAGGGCTACTCTTGTATAAGCAACCTGCTGACTGCAGTGGACAGATGGACAAGCATCCTCGATCGCAAGGGAAAGGTTGACATCATTGTAGCGGTAAATAAATCCCCAAAATAAATAGCTCTGCAAGTTTTCGACATTGGATGCTGACCACATGTTTTAGTGGACTCATCTAGCTGAAGGCGCTCGGTCAGGCATCCGTACCAGATCACGTGTGGTAACGCCGTGCTCAACATCAACCGCAATCGCTAGCCAGATTAGATCAGAGAATCCCGATATATTGGTCATCGCCAAATATACTCTTCCGATCTCCTCGACTCTGTCTTTTGATTTCCCTTGGTGGGAACGAAATATACTAGAAGGTGTTACTGGTAGAAGCGTTGTCAAACACTGAATACCTGTGACATCATCATCATCTAACTAGATTTCTCAAAAGCTTTTGATAAGGTTGTTCATACATGTCTTATCAATAAGCTCAAACGACTAGGTATCAGACGGCTTCTAATCGATTGGTTTACTTTCGAACGGGAAGTTTAGTCCTAACGTGATTTGCATTTATCAAGCTTTTGCTGTGTTCTTACGCAACAAAAGTACCACTTCTGTTCAAAAGAATCTATCCTGAGCTAAACGTTCGGTAGATTACTTTTTTTTAGTTTCACCCAATTTAATAGTTAACTGTGGTTTTGCCTCAGCTTACTTTTCGGTTTTTTTCACTTTTTCACGTAAAGACTAGTTCAGTTTATCTCATCCGTTTTATCCATTTTTGTCCGTTTTCAGTGTGTTTTTTAGTGTATTTTTTACGGTCTTTAGGCTTTTGCTAGCATCTACAACGCAGTTTACGTCAATACAGTCATGAAAAATTCATGCAAACGACCTGGAAACCGTTTTGCTGTTACATTTGGCATGCAGTGCGACAACTGCAAAGGTTGGTTCCACGAAGCGTGCACAGATCTCACAGCAACTGCTTACAACAGACTCAGCAAGTTGGATCATAAGTGGGAATGTGTTACGTGCAGCACGGATGCTGCAGTCTTGCTGAGTAATATCATTGTCCTACTGACAGGTCTGCAGAGTAAGTTGTCTGCAGACTTGGGAAAAGACAGTCAAAAAATGGGTAGACAAACAAGAAAGCGCATCGAAAACGAGAATAGGGATGTCGACAGGTCTACCAACGACGGAGCATTCAACAGTATTAATGATGACACACTGAAAATTAGCACCATGATTACGACGACGGTACTCGACTCCATCAGCAAACTTGGGTCTCACAGCTCAAGGTCCTTGAACGCGACAGTGGTTCCCAAAAAATCTGTAGATGATTGGACCCATGTCAAAAGAGCTAAAAAGGGCCAGGCGTCACAGTCTAAGCTGAACATCACAGCTGTTGAACGGAAGTCAACTGGTGATATGGTCACACAGTCTACCCCCAAGATTGTCCGTCCGGTCATCAAAGAGCAAAGGATTCGTAAATGTGCTTCGACCCCCAAACAACGAGGTGCTAAAACTGAACGCACTGGAAAACCTGGGACGACAATAACGGTTCGTGACGACTCTCTCATAGTCATAAACTTCAAAGACAATCCTGACCTTCCTCTCAGTTTGCAGGAAAAAATGATAAGATGCTTTGGGGAGAATTGAACAAGAAACTTAGACCTCCAAGAATAGAGCCTTTGACAGTCACACGGCTCACTCGGGGAAAGGGATCTTAGCATCAAAGTCACCCGAAGCTACTTCGTGTGACACTTAAGAATGCTACCGACGTAGAGGATGTCTTACTAGCGAGTCATTTACTGGAATCAGATGGGAATGTAAAAATACTACCTGACATATCGTATTCTGAGCGCAATCTTATCCGGAACATCCCCAAAGAATCTCGCGATCAGTTTTTCCGCGGGAGGAATATAATCGTGCAAGGTATACCGGAAAATACGGACCCTACTCAATCAAAAACTGACATCAGGGAATGGAAATTCATCAAACAGTCCTTGAGGCTCAAACACATACTGACTCAGCATGTGACGAGACTAGCCAAGAAGGATGGTGATTCTAGACCCCGTCTAATGAAGATAACCTTCCCATCTTCCCACATGGCGGCTGCAACTCTGGAAGCATTTCGTGCCAATAGACGTCGACTGCCACCTGGAATCCACATGCACCCGGATAGGCCATACGAAGCTAGGACCAAACACAAAGGCAAGTTGGAGCTGATCATTCCACTTGTGGACTGTCTAGACGATAAAAAAACGTGTAAAGGACAGGGCCTACCACCTCGGCAAACCTCATATAGGTGGGCTACCTGTCCATTCACATAAGGCTCATACAGAAAAACAGGACGAAGCTCACGCGTTCCAAATTGAAAGCATAAACTGCTTATATATGAACGCCGCGAGTCTACCAAACAAACTGGATGAATTACGTGAACTTAGCAACGCTAATAAGGCCCATCTGATAGGAATATCTGAAACCTGGATATCTTCTCAGTTCTCGGACCAAGAGTTAGCATTACCTGGGATGACTTTGTTCCGCAACGACAGAAAAACAGGAATTGGGGGCGGAGTAGCCATATACATAAGCTCTTGCTTGGAGGTGCACCAAGTTCACAACCTCGAGTTTAACAATCTTGAGGAATCCATATGGTGCTCTGTAAGATTGTCTAGTACTTCGAGGTGTCTAGTCGGAGTCATTTACAGGAAGCCAACTGCCGACATCGAGTACGATAGTCGTATGCTGGAAGGACTATCCCGCTCTACTCGTCTCGGTTTCACACACATCCTGATTCTAGGGGACTTTAATCTCCCTAGAGTCAACTTCGCGGAACACACGTATACTGGAGGCGACAACTCAATTGAAGCTCGGTTCTTCAACCTCATCGATGACTTGGGATTGTTCAAAAATGTGAGGTCGGCAACTCGTTGGAGAAACAGTCAGACACCATCGCGCTTAGACTGTGTATTCACAAACGAAGAATTCCTAGTTGACAACCTCTCAATCCTGGCCCCCTGGGAAAAAGCGATCATGCCGTCATAGCCTTCAGTTTTGTCAGCAAAACTAAGCTAAGATACCTCACCAATAACTTGCGTTGGAATTTTAAACGGTTGAATGTGCCAGCTCTACATGACTATCTACAACAGGTGGTTTGGGATGTTCACCCTCAACTCGACGTGGATGGTCATTGGGACTTTTTTCCGCACACGCTCTTACGTGCTACAAACCATTCAGTTCCTCAAACGGTTCCCAAAAGCTGCAAGCCACCTACAATAATCAAGAACCGTACCCTTCGCCTGCTAAGCCGCAAAAGGCACTGTTGGGCGGAATACAAACGAACTGACAACGACGGAGCGTAAAGGCAATATAAAAATATCAGGAACATATGCACGAAGGCTATAAGAGAAAATAGGCTTCAGTACCAGACAAAGCTTATGGACAAATTTGCCTCCAATAATAAAAGCTTGTTCCGTTATGCAGCCTCTCTTCGTCAAGCCAAAACTGGAGTTTCCCAACTGGTAGGTCTTAACGGCCCGACCAACAACGATGGCGACGCCGCTAACCTTCTGGCCGAAGATTACTCCCAGACATTTCAACCGACCGACATTAACTTTACTGGTGACAGTTTCCTTTGCAATTCCACAGGACTTTCCGAAGTGAACCTAAGCGCTGACTTGGTGTTCCGGAAACTGCAGCACTTAAGATTAGACACTTCTCCTGGCCTGGACATGGTCCATTCCGCCATACTGAGGGAAGCAGCCTCAATCTTGGCAACGCCGCTTAGCGTGATGTTCTCACACTCGCTAAGTCGAGGAAAACTACTGGAAAATTGGAGGCTGGCTCACATCATACGCAGCGAACCTTCAAGTTACCGACCGGTGGCTTTTCTCTCCATACCCTCAAAAATCATGGAGTCCTTGATATGCGCTGGTACAAATGACTATTTATTGTCTTTAAATTTCTTCTCACCCCAACAGCACGGTTTCAGGAAGGGTTACTCTTGTATTACCAACCTTCTGACTGCGGTGGACAAATGGACAAGCATCCTTGATCACAAGGGAAAGGTTGACATCATCTACCTAGATTTCTCAAAAGCTTTTGATAAGGTTGTTCATACATGTTTTGTCAATAAGCTCAAACGATTGGGTATCAAACCACCTCTAATCGATTGGCTCATTTCATACCTGAAAAATCGACATTTTAATGTCAGGGTTAATTTCACTTTATCTCAGGCTATGGAATGTCCTAGTGGGGTCCTCCAGGGCTCAGTACTCGGGCCTCTTCTCTTCTTGATCTACATAAATGATCTTTCTCAACAGGTAACGTCAGACTTATTACTTTTCACCGACAACGTCAAACTTTGGAGAGAGATGCGCAACCAAGACGGTATACAGGCACTTCAGGAGGATCTGACTCGACTTCAAAGTTGGGCAGACAATAACGGACTTACCTTCAACACTTCAAAGTGTAAAGTAGTCCATCTGCGACATGTCGCAGACTACAGTTATAACTTAGGTACCTCTTCTCTAGTAGTATCCCAAGTCGAAAAAGATTTAGGAGTCCTGGTGCCCTACGATTTAAAGTCTTACGCTAACTGTGACAAAAATGTCTTCCAAGTAAACCTTGCACTGGTAACATTGAAGCGCATTTT